GTGGACATATGACATATCCAAATACAGTTACTGTATGTAAGTATAGGTACTTACACATTTACCGCCCCAAGTTAAACGTTTGAAAATGGGGGGGGGGGGGTCATTGAAATAAATTGGTTTGTACAAAGACCTATAACTTTCTTTTTCGAGATCAGGGGGGGGGGGTGTTATAAATTAATTTTTATCTTCCATGGTATTCTAATTAAAGGTCTCAACGAAGGAAACCTCAAAATACGGGGTTGGGGGGGGGGATTGGAACTGGTGTTATCCTTCATGGTACTCTATGAAAGGTCTGAAAGGAATTTCTTTTTACCACCCATAGTCCTCATCCTCGACCCCTTATCGTGATTGGATATATTCCCTTATACGTCCAGAACGGATTGTCGGGTACTCACAAAGGGCGATTGGGATGTCTCCAAGAAATATATCCAGTTGTGCACAATTTGTACTTGTTTTTAATTCTTAAACAAAATGCGCTAAAATAATCTACGTGTAGAGCAACAAAATGTTGTTTTCAAGAGTGAAGATAAAATGATAAGCGAAATCGTAAGTGTAGTTGCATATAGAATACAATAACCAACGTGCAAAAACTCACAAATAAAACAATTGAGATAATGAATACAATTAAATTGCGAAAGAAACTAAATTATTATATTTTTAAATTTATCTACCTAATCTATTAAACCTCTTGACAAATGGGTATAAATGCACGTGCAGGCTGCGTCGTAGACGAGTACTACCAGCACTTTGAAGATATGTATTTGAAACTTGTATTGGTTTCTGCTGCTCTCATGTATGTAGGTGTTGCCTCAGGTATGTAACGATACGTTTATGATTTTATGTACAAACAGCCTCCAAACTGGAAGCTTTCATTTGCCTGTTTTCCGTATCAACTTCAAGCGTAGCATTGTCTGTATATTCGTGAAATTGAGGGTATTTCTGATAACGAAACCAAAAAGTTTGTAACACTCATTTGTTAGGTATGTTGGCCATTTCATTGTTGGGACTCGATGGTAGTAGATAAAAACAATAAGTCGTAAGTATGTTTTCTATTGGCAATCGATTTCGACGATTATTATTGTCATCTTCAGGCCATGCTACAAGTTATATAATGAGTTGTATTTAAATTAATTTTACAGTTAAATTACCGTCATGTGGTTATAATAGTATATTAAGATACAAGTGTATAATCAAGTCTTTAAAGCACGCGCAACGAGTTTAAGCGCACGACGCAAAGCGGAGTGCCTTTAACGTTGCAAGTGCTTTAAAGACCAATTATACACGTGTATCTTATAGTATTTTTTATTATACCTGCAGTATAATTTAAAAATAGGAAATACAATGAAGTCATATTGACGTTATACTCGAATACATGTCTAATTAAGTGGGCTGGGTGTTCGTAATTTCACGATTGCCATGGAAATGTCACTTGACGTTTGCTTATAAAAATCATCGTCTTTGTGAATTAAACGATTTCCGTTGAAAAAGATAATACACCGTCCATTAAATCGATTGTTGTAAAATCTAAACAAACGTTGGTAGGTGTAAAATCCAACTCCAGTAAAGCATATTATAAAGAATATGAAAAGTTGTTTCCATGGGTGGATAGGAAGTTACTTACGAATAAAGTCTTAAATGCAACGATAATGCTGGCATATATGAAGGAAATGTCAAAGGTATTTAAATCTTCTAAATTTTGGTGCATTCATTCAAAACTTTAAAGCAATGCTGCGATTAAAAAGTGGAACAGATTTGGAAGCATACCCTAAATTACGCGCGTTTGTGAAAGCTTCAACCAAAGAATAGGTACAAAAGCCAAAGAAATGTTCTGCATTTACAGAAAGCGACCTAAGGGGATTTTTTATTTCATCCAGATGACAGTTTCAAAAGTCATACTTGAAGTATCGTTACTTAGCAACTTTAAAGCACGTGTGTTTTAATAGTATATTAAGAAACAAGTTTCATAAGTGGCGCGTTTAACGCACGAGTTCAAGTTTAGAAAACGAGCCGCTCGCGGCGAGTTTTCTAATGAACGAGTGCGATGGGGCGTCTTATGAAACAAGTTTCTTATACTATTTTTTCTATTGAGAACATATTTTCGAGAAATTTTTATCAAAATGATGTTATAGTAACTTTTTGTAACTAGGGAATTTTGATATAGAAGTTGTATTAGTGCGGGTTGTATTAAGTTGGCAGTACGACGTCCCAAATATTTCACTTATTTAAATACACTCTCATCAATTGTGTTTTAATTAATAAACTTCAGAAATTAGTACATTAACTGTGGAACACTTCATAAAGGCAAAATACAGTCCTTCGTCCTTTTATATAAGTTATGTGAAATTCAGTCGTGTCACTGTCGATTAACGACAAAGCTAACAGCTAACAGATTTCCCCCATATGACACTGCTTCTACTTATATTGGTGACTGACATAAAAAGAAAAACAAAGGTTTCTTTTCGCGATTTGCCATTAACGGTCACTAACGGATCGGTCCTTAGTGGGTTGTTGTTACGTGATAGGTGTCACTCATTAGGACGGGTTCGGCTTCGGATTGTCACTTCCTCTTAGGAGCATAACGATACTACACAAATCAGGCTCACGATATTAATAACACAGAACAAGTGCTAAAAGCAATAAGCTGCTTCTTTAAAATATTGTTTAATGTGTTCCGAAGGTATCCTCGTTGTCATCCTTTCCCCATTCGAAATCTCCTTTATAATCTGTAGGTCTTTTTTGAAAGATAGGTACACTATTCGTACTAGTAATCATTGGTCACAGATTGCACGTAGATGTTGAACGTGCTACAAAAAGAGGCATTAATCATTAATGTAAAAATTTACCTCAAAGCCCCACATTGTTGATATCTCGGTTCTTACGCTACATACCGTAATATTTAATTCCCTTTTGAGTTTTGGGAGAAAGTAATTAAGTGGTTTTTTCATATTGTTCTTCTTGTAATTTGATTAACACTTTATCAGCCTTACATGTCTCGCTTTTAATCAAATAGAAAGGAATCTTGTCTTTCTGTATATCAAGACATAACCCTAATTTCTAAATAAATACAATCGAATGTCAAATAGGGTAGTGAATTTAGGTTTTCCTCTTTAATACCAACTTAAAAACGGTGCGTTAATAGGTCTCATTAACGCACTGTTTTGAGCGGAAAACGGTGCGTTAATAAGAACATTTAAAAATCGAAATAGAAAAAGGCCCTTTTTCGCACGCATTTGAGTGTTTAAAACGGAGATTGTGATTCAGGTATAATAAAATAGTATATTAAAGTACTGTTGAAATATGTAATATTTGGTGTGTTACTTTGCAAACACCTTGTATTTGTTTGACCTTCAACATTCTATTCTATGGTTTACAGAACAGTTTTAACATGTTCGCGTTCGCGCGTTTTGTGTGGTTATGTCAGATTTCCTTTCATTGTTTCTTTTACAAATAAGGTTTATCATAATAAATGTATACCTACGTATCATAACAGCGAGGTTTAATTAATAATCTCAACAAGTACAAGTGTCATTTGACGAAGATTGTCGCACGAGGTAGTTTGCCGCATAAGCCGCGTAGCGGCGAATGCGGCAAAAGCCGAGTGCGACAAGTAGACAAATGACACGTGTGCTTTATACTATTTTTTCTATTTCGACTTTATTTTAAATAATAAATTATACAAATTATAAATATTGCCTTTAGGCGTTGTTAGGGAATTTTAAACTATCATTCAGTGTATGTTGGTAATAGACACATTTCATTTATTTTCACGTGGGGTAACCTGATTCCTGTATTTTCAAACTTCAAACTTTTAATTATTTGGTCATAATTCCATTTTGCGGCAGTTATGATGAATACGGATGACAAACACGTCTCTTGTACCCCACCAGAGATCCAAGAGATTGCCAATGAAGCGACGTTAAATTTATTGCCTGTAAAATCGAAAGTAAAGTACGGGGAGTACAAAATTTTTGAAAACTGGCTGGCCGAGAAGGGAGTTCAAAAAGTAAGCAAGAATGTACTGCTGGCATATTTTACTACGCTAAGTAAAAATAAAAAAGTTCTACCCTTTGGAGTATATATTCAAAATTAATCGGAATTAATACAATCGGTCAAGTTCCTCGTACGTTATTTACACTTTACAGGGTATGTTTAGTTTTGATTTGACGGATACCGTTGACGGCAGAAAAGCGAGGGGTACCAATCCAACAAAATAAAAAAAATAATACGTTTCTATTTCTTTCAGCATCATTTCTGTCTAGAAACGCACGCAAACTGGGCCAATCAAGTACGGTTTCTGTATTGTTTCCACATCGAAATAGAAAATAGTATATTGAAAGACAAGTGTTACAATGCGACCTATTGTAATACGACTATCTTGTGGCACGAGTGGCGACGCGAAGCGTAGCCACGAGTGTCCGCAAGATAGAAGTATTACAATAAAGCATTGTAACACGCGTTTTCATACTATTTTTTCTATTTCGGTGCTTTAATTTAATTAAAAAAATCATTATCAGAAACTATAGGGAACATTAGAACTAACATGTTTTATGTTGGGAACATTTTTTATGCCGTTAAGTTTTAGGTTGGCAGCGTAGTAAGACTGACATTTTGAAGTTCAAATATGGAAGTAACCCAACGAAGTACCTACTTGTACTAACTAGTAACTGCCAACTTAAGAGATGAGTTACCAAAAAAAAACGACTACAATCACTGTCTTTGTACAACTGTTTTCGGCCGAAAACAGTTGTACAAAATCATCATTGTGACACCGAAATAGAAAAAATCTTTTTGTTATTGCTAATACCGCTGAATTAGTGTTTTAATGGTTTTTGAGCTTTTTAATTGCACATTCGCCAAACTTTCCTTTACGTTATGTGTTTTAGCATCGTTAACCTTAAATGCTGATCCGTTAGTACCGCTGGCGCTGGTGTATACAGTTTTTTCATCTTTTATCTCATGCTTGATTTAAAGAGATATTATTTATGTGCGCAGGCTGTATAAGTGTATAATTCATACGATAAACAATAAACTTACCTACCATCTGGCTTGGTTTCGTGGTTTCCAATTGTAGGAAGGACCAGGGTGTTGGGAAAGAAGCGCTTCAGTGCAGAAATTCCGTCCCTGAGAGTGATCAGCTGTCCCGCTTTTGTTTGGCGCCAAATATCGTGCGGTGCGATATCTCCCAACCACATAATGTAGGAAATATCCTAAGTAAAAAGCCAGTGTCAATGACTGACTATACTACCTTTATACAAAACAAATAAAGGTAATGGTCCTCGCGTTGCAAATCACTTCTTTTCTACAAGGGATTTTAGCAACTGACGCTTACATTAAAATGTACTGTCGGCGGTTGTATCTTATTTTATAATTATTGTACTATTTTTCAATTTTTTCTAATTTGGGAGGTAATAATTGCCCCATGCTTCCTTAGCGACTATGTGAATCACCATTTATGCACAACCGTTTAAGGAGAATTTTAAAATTAATTTCACAACCATTCATACAATTGAACAATCTGTCGACATGTCACAAGGGCCATATTGGAATAGATACGTTTACTCAACACTTACAGTGAATAAATAAAATAAAAAAAATGATACTCACGGTATGTCGTTCTGCAATTACTTCAAGAATGTAGTCTAATGTTTTGAGTGGTGTGTCACATTCAGCGCTACCCCACCTGAAAAAATCTTTGTAATAATAATAGGATAATAATAATAATAGGACTTTATTGGACACAAAGTATCAATATAACAAAAAGAAACAAAGAAGAAACAAAAAAAAACATGATAGTGTCCAAACAGCGAAGTTCAGGTGTGGAAAAATCCTTACCTGCTCTTCCACTTAACCGTTATATAACATAATAACAGTGGCCAAGAAAAACTTTTTCGCAGTCTCATAGCAAAATTGTTCATTTACGAGTTGCAAAACTTACGCAAAGGAACATTTTGAAGCCGCAGATCATAGATAAAAAAGGGAGTAAATAAATTGATATCAAAACTCATTGTGATAAACAACGAAGTTTTTTCGGATCGCTAACAGTAACGGCTGGTTAAAATCAAGCTTCTTAAAATTAAGTGACGTCATTGGACAGCGCATTGTGCGATTAACCAACGGCAGGAAATTTTAAGACAATTAATCGGTGCATTTACTCGCAACACAATCTAGTTAATAAATTGGGCAAAATTAATATCAACAACGGCGGAACATTAGCATTTTATTCCTATGCATAATCACGATCCTGAGTATTACTTTCGCAAAATTAAAACCGGTTTGCCCAGATTTTCGGTACGTAGGGACATTTTTGTTTTGCATTAATTACGGAGTCAACTGTACCAATGGAACGATCTGTTTCCATATATCTAAAGGGAGTAGCATTTTTTTCCGAGTATATATAAAATCAATTTATTGTCACCAGAAGGTAATATTACCAACGTCAAATTTTTCATTGGTATAAAGTAATGGTCGATTATTTTTAGGAATTTACAAAATAAATTTTATTTGAAGAAATTTTGATATTCTTAAGGGAATCGACCCGTGAAAATTATTAGCGTGAAATAGATTGTGTATTTATTCATAAGAATCGGATCCAAACAAAGGATTTGGGTTATTTTGTTCATTGATTGGGAATTTTGTATTTATTTTCAGTGATATTATTCCTTCGGTTTTTATTACGTATAGAAAAATAACAGTTTAGAAAAGTATCAAATTTTGCATGTACACGTGATCACGAAATAGCAAATGTCTGATCCAGCACGTTCCTGAGAGAATTTGTTGAACTATTTTGTTCGTGTTCGTTTAAAGCACAGCAATGCACGCCACTGCTGCTAGTGCTAAATCAATCACTTCCTTATGCATCGCTCAAAATACTACGAAATTGTAATGCGTCTGTGGGCAGTGGTAGTGCACGTTTTTGAATACACGTACATAACCGCGTACAAAAACGTCCTTCTGTAGGGGCCTTTACACATATTACCTATTACGTTTCCACGCGCATATATGGGTAGGTATATACAATACAATACAAGGAAAGTGCTGGGTGTCGTCAGATGCTAACGTGCAGAAAAGTTTTGAAGTTTTGAAAACTCATTTTTTGCATTTATTTTTATGGCATTCTATTACTATTAATTGCTATCATTTTTCGTGGGAGAAGAATAGTGTACATTATAAACAGATATTGGGATATCGATACCCCAACTTTGCCCACCAATAAATGGGAGCTTGCCAATATTACTGCTAACTCTAGAAACTAGACAGAAATCATGAAATATTTAACTGAAATAAAAGACCTTAGTGCGCAAGTGTTGCATTTTTGTAGTGACTTAATCAACCGTTATTGGCAAAGATGGTACAATAATAAATAAATAAATAAGTAAATGAATAAATAAATAAATAAGTAGAGATAATTCAATAATTTCAATTACCTTTCGGCAGGAATATTTCGTGCCAAGAGTTTGTTAGTGGACAAATTGCGACAACAAAGTGGCTCCTGACAATTGCTTGTACTTCCCACAGCATAATCCGTATCGAGGTGGATATCATTAATTTGCAGAATCTTGATCACGTTATTCGCCTTAAAAAATCTTATTCGCGTGCGTGTGATAATGTGACATTTATACCTTCGATCGCGGTTTCTCTTGCACTCGTGGTTTTGGTACGCTTGTAAGGTTTACCGTCCATTCGTGTTCTGGAATTCTCATTTGTGGACAAGCTTCCATAAGCATACTACAAATTTCAGTGGGACCTAAGTTGTGGTATTTCTAAAGAGAATAAATCTGTAATTTGTAACTTACTGATTTGGACATATTGGAAGGCTTCTAGAATGTCTGGTGCAAATGTGTCAAATATTCCGTTGCAGACAATCGAATTTTGGGCAACTCTACATAGTGGTACGAATTTGAGCTTGACGAAGGACATAGGTTCATTTTTCTTGGCAGCTGTATAAAAGATGTTAACCACTGTGAATAATAAGAAATAGACAACATTAACCGCAGGGTACACTCGCTACTTACACAACTCGCATACGCCGCAACTGATACTGGACTCCACCCGCTTGAAGATAATCTCCTAAAAAATTGGGGTTGCCTAATTGAAGTAAAAAATTCAAAAATAGGTACCAAGCTTCCGGTTACCGAACACAATAACGTTGCTAAAACTATTACTTTCATCCTCACACGTAAAGACAAGAAAGGAAATGAAAGTTCCGAAAGTTATAATAAGGTACCTAATAATTAACGAGTTTTGACGCAATTTGCAAAACTCCCAATTAGACTAGGTACCTAATAATTAGTGCCGTCGCAAAATGTATGATAGTAATAATAACACAGTGATAACTGGAGGGTATTGTAGTGCATGAAGAAGCATTTATTTTATTTGTCTGAAGAGAGGGAGCAACGGTTCTATTAAAAGGAAAGTAACGCGGCGGCATACTTATTAGTATGCTGAGGCTTTGTCGTGATCTTGAACGCAGATTAGACCATTTCTGCGTTGAGTCATTGAATTTTTTTATTCAATGGTTGAGTGAAGGATTTAATTACTCAATGATTTCTGTGTTTTGCTTTGCTAGGTGCTAAGTTAATACCATTTTACAGGCATTGTTACCTACATATTTGTTCTTAAATGGAAAATCATTTTGAATAGGTGCAGTCACGACGGACAAGATAGGTATAGTGAATAGTGATTCCTGTTTTCCGTACTAACTGTTCAGGCGTTACATAATTCCGCGGTAAGTTTCAAAGCTTTCGGAATACCTACAGTAATTTGAACTCCGCAGTTGAGCCCATTAAATTCGCCCGTGAAGTGTACCTAACTTCCTCGTTTCTCTAGGACACCGTAGCGACAATACACAAGGTTCTGTTCGATGATCGTTCAAGGATGTCGAAAACGGCGGGATTTAAAGCACCTAGATGAGAGGTACCCAGAACCCTGAAACGTTGCGGAAATTTAAAATAGAAAGAAATTAAAATGGTGATAGGAAGAAGTGAAAAAAAAGTTATCACTGAAAGGAGGAGTTACGTAGGAAAAAAAATTACTCAACCAGAAAGCTTCACACTCTTATTTATTTATTTATTTATTTATGTATTTATTTATTTATTTATTATCCCTCTCTTGTTGTCCTCAACAGGCTTGCGCCCGCATAATGCTTTTTAGAGGTGCCTCTGCAGAAGGTCTTACGTTGTTCTATATACTACTCCGGTATTTACCTTACGAAATAGCAATACTGCAGGAAAACCAAATTCGGAGTAACCGGCAGAATGCTCGAAACTGGTCTAAGGAAATTCCCATCAGCTCTGTCACAGATGAAAAATTCTTATACCTCAGCCCAGGTTCCAACACCCGACTTCCGGCTTTATAGCCCAACGCTCTACCATTGAACTACTTATCCTATTAAGATTCGCTGCTCAAATCTCGCCGTATTGGTCCGTTCGATTTGGTTTGTAACGAGTGGTTTTATTTCGCGCCAAATTTCATTGAAAAATTCGAAATTCCTTGTCATGACAGTGCAGGTCACCCTGTATATTTCATTATTTGTTCCGGTTAGAAATTTTGTGTTTGGGCATTTCGGTTCGCTCAAGACTATGGTCCGATAGATTTAATTTCGCTCAGATTTAATTTCGTCGTGGGAAGAGTGCAAAGCTGATTGACGTCATCATGAGTAATGCGAGTTTTTTGTCGTTCGTTTATCAACGTTGGCGCCGTCTAGACCGAGAATAGGAGCGGATGTAGCACCGAGCCGTCAAGAGATAAGGAGTTTTCACGTCATCAGCAGAAAACCGTGAGATCAGTTTAGTCAGCAGTTCCTTGAGGTTGACGACGAAGTTAGAGTGGGTTAAGTCTTCTTTATCTAAACCAATGGGAGAATTTCTAGCGGGAGCCATTTTTGTTTTATGGTAATTTGGGTGTGGTTTTTTCATTTCAATTCTGAAGAAGGGGATCGTTTTGGAGACTCGCAGTTAGTACGTCAAGCGGTCAACACGTACCTTGAGCGATTTTTGGTACCCTTGGCGGTTTGAGCCACCGGCTTATTTCGGTTGCTCCCAGTTGCGTGCTTTTTGCACCCGTTCCGAAGTGTTATTTTCTTTTCGTGTTGATTTTTTGGCGAAGAAGACCCAGGTTCCAATCAGGTGATATTTGGGCGAACCCTTGAGCTTCACCCCAGTTTACTTTGGATGCAGTGAATCGCGTTAGGATACGTTGTGATTTCTCGAGGATACATAATTCAAACTGCTGCCCTAGTCCTCAAGGCGCAGAATTTCGGGATCCGCCCCAGGTGGAATTTCCTACTAGTGCCGTAAGGTCATTTGTCGAAGGAGCGCTGCGTTTCTGAGAGATATTTGCCCCAAGAAGAGCTGGTGAAATAATACCTTGAATCATCGCGGTTTACCGTCGGATAGTGATCATAAAAGTTTGTGTTCTGCCGTACCGCTAACTCAAAAATCCGTCTCCCGCAGGCGGTTAAAGCTAATAAACTAATAAAATAAAATTAAATACACGTGCTGGGTAGAAACTTTGGCAACTAGCCGTCTCCCACTCGCCACGCGAAGGATTTCCTGGCCTAAGTTTCAGTTCAAACGCTAAACTTTGCTTTCGTTCCGAGGAAGGATAGGCACCGTGGATTTTTGTTTCCGTGTGTTAAATTCAAGCCACCCCTTAGGAAGTCACAGAGACCTAAGTGTCAGGTTTCATCACATCCACCCTGTACCAGAGGAAAGAGCAGTTCACAAGATCGGCTGTACAAATGTTGTAAAGGTTAGTCTAATTAAATTTGTAACATTCTGTGAAATTCCACTTTTTGGTAATTAAGCTATAGTAAAAAAAATTTTGATTTGATTGTTTATTAAAGTCCAATGAACGATTGCCAAAGAGTAGGATAAATTTTTGTGTTTATTTAAATAAGTCCCAGCCCACGCTGGATTAAAAAACGATGACCTGTTGTTGCAATTTTCAAACTGTAGAGGATGGCCACCCCTTGAGTAAATTAGTCTCACCTGTTAGGATTTTTTATTTAGTTTAGTTGTCATTGTTAAGCTAGTGTTTTTACAAGGAGAAGAGAAGAACTGCTAGATCCCTGTAAATTGTTTGTATCGCTAATCTCATTTCAATATATTATCTATTTGGTTTCAATGTGCCTATGTCTTTAACGAAGAACGAGGGGAAGGAAAGGGAGGAGTAGGAGTTGAGGCAGGAGATTGGTAGGCGGCAGGTCAAGGTTTGTTACACAGTTTCAAAAGAGTTAAAAGCCCACCGATTTGAGTTAGCCGGAGCATTTATTTTTATCGATTGAGCAGCCTAAGAAGAAGACGGTTTGCCTTGCCGGGCGGAACCGATGGTAATTTTCAAGTCCAGAAGGAACCCCCGTAGCAGGTTCCAGTAACTGAATTTAGTGTGAAAACTATGAGGGTCACTAAATACATAGCCCCCAGCAGCACTTATACCTACACTTGTTCTATCTTTCTGCTAATTTGGCATAACATTCTGATGGCTGGGCCCTTAGAAGTCGTATGCCTCCACTCAAGGCTCGGTCGTTTTGACTCTGGTTCACAGTGATGGATCCACGTTTAATCACCCGTAATTCATTTAAAAAAACATTCTCCTTCAATCGAATACCGGTTTTTCGCCTTTGACTGATTCGAAGCTGGGTTTCTTTGTGAACATCCGTGAGTTGTCTGGGCACCCACCTCGCACATGTTTTCTTGTACTGCAACTTATTGTGAATAATGTTATGGACAGTGGTACGCCTATTGTCTCGGATTGTCGCGTCAACCCGAGATTGAAGAGAGGAAGTCCCGTCTTTGACCGGTCGTCCAGAGCGTTGCTCGTCAGAAACTTTTGTACAGCCAATTTGAAACTGTTCTACCTACTTATAAACGTTCGAACGACTCAAACAATTATCTCCGTAGGCTTTTCAAATTATTTCGTACATTTTACTCGCCTTCCGCAACTAAAAATCTGATCACGGCACGTTGTTCTTCCACAGTGCAAATCTTGATCGAACTCGCCATCGTTAACTGAATAAATTTGAGGTTATGTTTACATAATATGATCGAACAGCTGATCACATGTCATCGCAAGGTTGCCAACTTTACGTCCTGAAAGTTCCATGTGGATCAATTCAGGCGTTTTCCAGCAGTAGTAATTTGTCTCGTTAATTATTGAGTCCACCTCGTATATGTGAAGTGTAACAATTAAGTCCGTTAAAAGATCGGTCGGTACAAAACACAAGAACGTTTTCCAATTAAACTTACCAAAATGCTTCGTTTGGGCTGCCAAATGTTCCAAAAATTTGCGCCTCCCATTTCTGCGACCCGCACGTAACATTGGGATAAAAAATGACCCCCCATTTTTTTGACGGAAATACCTATATGTCTTGAAGCACCAATAATCCAAATTTAACAAAATCTTGATGATGTCGGTCGGTTTGTAGGTCTATCGGTCTGTATGTCTGTCAATCGGTCTGTACTATCATTTCCGGCGAAACGGTTGAACCGATTTTAACCAAATTTGGTTCACATATTCTTACATATAAAAGAGGAGAATCGAATTGAATCTTGTCAATGGTAATGAGAAACTACAGGGTGATGTTTTTTCAGGAGTCATGTTCCATTTGCTACCCCTGAACTGTGTTTCGGTGAGGTGCTGTTAGATTGTAAAAATTGTATCTTACATGTTTATAAACTAAAGGATTAGATTGTAGAGTGTATACTTTGTACAGTGTAAAATTATAACACCCTGTGGTTCGGGAACGAAGCGTTTGCGTGTCTATCTTTATATGAACTTTTAGTCATAAAATAAGTCAAAGAATTAGCCCCTTTCGTATATACATAATATGTATTTAGAAACACCCTGTATATATGAGAGTCGTCAGTAGTGTGAAATTACAATTCAATTTTCTTTGCACTTGAATCACATGTGTCAGAAATGCTTTCTTGAAACTACTGTAGCGGAATAATTTTTTTTCCAAACTGACCAAACAATAAGCGTTCATGGATAACTGAAAGAGGAAAACAAACAACTTATAGGAACTGGGAAAGTATTTTATTCTTATCATTCCGTTCGCTACCATAATGTATGTATACATAATAAACAAAATAAAGAAGGTATATTAAAGGCGGCTAAATTCTGCACCCAACACAATCTACGCATTTATTTGTAAGAAACTTTCATTTTTAATTGGCGATTTTTTGGAGTTTATCAGTTTCGTCGGTTTTCAAGATATTCGGATTTAAAATTTTGACCTCACCCACAGATACGTGTCGTCCAGACCTTCCATATTCCCTTTGACAGTACCCTCTAGCGACACTCCGTTAAAGATATCCGGATTTGAAGTTAAAACCTCATCGACAGATAATCTCGACCAGACTTTTCATTTTCGCTTATAGATTGTCCTCTTTCGGCACTCCATTTTCGCGATATAGGGATTTTAAGTTTTGACCCTATCGACGGATATATTGCTTTTAAGTTTTCGCTAGCCTTCCTACACTTTCCCATTGAGAACTTCTCGATGGTTTCCAAGTCTGTTCAAATGACGACTCGAAAAGTTTTGAATGCGCTATATACCTGGTCTAATCCTCTGCTTGTTTATTCGGGGGGGGGGGGGGGGTTACTTGATTCGGCAACCTAGCCTAGTCAGTCGACTTGACGGTTGTAGTAGGTTCCGGCAAATGAAGGAAATTGGTAGTGCAAATAAATTTATTTGTGATGTTTTATTCTGGTTCGGCTATTAGCCAAGTTGGCCTTGCAAGATATTATATCGAGTAATAATTTAATTTCCTATTAACGTAAATTTTCCACTTATACCTAATCTACATACTTATGTAGCGAGATCGTCACAAAACTCATAAATAACCGACTCTACTTTTTGCTGATTTTAACTCGCATAATAGTCGCATTTTGTCTCTTGCGTCGTAAGTTTCGCGCATTGGACTATCTGTGAAATGGTTCCTAAATTTAAACAACGTTAGTTACTTCGATAAGCGATACGACATTATAATACCTATAGAACTTCTCGAAAAGTTCAGGATCCTCTTGCATTCGATAAATTAAATTGCTCCATTCCGTAGGATCTA